AGAGAAGAGACAAGAGAGAAGAGACAAGAGAGAAGAAGAGAGAAGAGAGAAGAAAGACAGAAAATAAAGAAAGAAAGAAGGAAGAAGAAAGAAAGAGTGGTCAAATAATAAGCACCATGTAGTAGTGGTAACAGGTAGTCTTAAGTGGTGACTTTTTAAAAAGATAATCACGTAGCCAGGCACACACCTGTGATCCAGACTCTTGGGAGGCAGGACGATTGCAAATTCCAGGCCAGCTTGGCTACACAGTGAAATCCTAGCTCAAAAAAAGATAAAACATGTGAAATTTTCTTTCTTTTGGCAATATTGGAGATTGAACCCACCAGCGCTTTACCACTGAGCTACATCCCCAGCCACCTTTTTAAAAAATAAATTTTGGGCTGGGGATATAGCTCAGTGGCATAAGTGCCTGCCTAGCAAGTGCAAGGTCGTGAGTTCGATCCCCTGTACCAGGGGGAAAAAAAAGACTAAGATAAAAAATAAATTTTAAATTTTGAGGCAGGGACTCGCTAAGTCACTAATTGCCCAGGTGGGGCTCAAACTTGTGATCCATCCTCCTGCAGCAGCCTCCCAGAGCACTAAGATTATAGGCATGGGCCACCATGCCTGGTACAACCATGTTTCCTTTACCCGCTCCGCATGTATTGGTCAGCATTTGCGTTTTTTTTGGCTACTGTGAATACTAAGACTGCTATGAACATTGGTGCAATTACCTGTATGAGTCCCAGTTTTTTTTGTTTTGGTTTTTGGTTTTTGTTTTTTTTCCGGTACCGGGAATTGAACTCACGACCTTGCGCTTGCCAGGCAGGCACTGTGCCACTGATCTAAATCCCCAGCCCCCGAGTCCCAGTTTTTGATGCTTTATAGAACTAGAAATCAAAGTGCGAAATCACGTTAATCACTGTATATTTTTGGCTTTGTTTTTTTGAGGCAAGGTCTTGCTGTGTAGTCCAAGCTGGGCTAGAACTCAGGATGATCCTCTGCCTCAGCCTCCCCAGTAATGGAATTACAGGTGTGCGCCATCACA